AAAATTGAAGGGGAAGGGGATAAGAGAAGTGGGGGAGAGATAGAAGGGAAGGCAGACTAGGGGAAGGGGTATTTAGAATGCACGCCATCTTGGGATGGGGGAGAGGTGAGATGGGGTGAAAATTTGGAACTCAAAATCTTGTGGAAGTAAATGTTGAAAACAAAAAAATAAATAAATAATTACCATAAAAAAATAAAATGTATATTATTGATGCCCTTTGTCTTCACATCATAATTATATAAACTTCTCACTTTGCAGATGAAATTCTCCTTTATGGCAAAGAAAAAACAATATGCAAAGTATTTGAGAAATGGCTGTATCTGACAGTGTATACAATAGTCCCTTCCAATCCCCATCTCCACATTCCCATCTCTACCAGTAAGGAGGAGGCATGTTTCCTTATCTGGGACTTTCACTGAACTTCATAAAATTGTTCAAGTTTTTTTTTCTTTTGGCCTGTTTCTTCTTTTACAAAATGACTAATATGGAAATATGTTTTACATAATTACATATATACAATCTATATCAAATTGTTAATTTTCTTAGGGAGGAGGGAGGTGAGGGAGAGAAAAAGTTTGGAACTCAAAAATTAAAAAAAAATTGAAAGTTAAAAATTGCCTTTAGATGTAATTGTAAAAAATAAAATACTATTTAAAATAAAATAAATACCCTTCCCAGCAATACAAGGACCTAAGACATTTCCAAAGTCCTTATCATGGAAAATACTATCCACATCCAAAGAAGGAACTATGGAATTTGAATGCAGATCGAAGCATACTATTTGCTATTTTTTTCTCTCCTGTTGAGTTTTGTTTCCTCTTTCTGGTGGTTCCTCCTATTGGTTCTAATTTTTACTTACAACATCACTAATGTGAAAATATGTTTAATAAGAATATATATATATATATATATATATATATGTGTGTGTGTGTATAGTCTATATCAGATTGTGTGCCATCTTGGGGAGGGTGGTGGGGATGAAGTGGGGAGAAAAATTTTAAACTCAAAAGCATATGGAAGTGATTGTTAATAAATCAAAATAAATTAATTAAAAAATAAAATAAAATAAATATAATACCAGAAAAAATACACTCAGATTTTGACTCCCTTTTAGTGATCTTTTTTCCCCTCAAAACATTCCCTTTATTATTTATAATTTTAACATATTCAGTTAACATCTCAGTCCCATATTTGTGGCAAAGTTATATCCCCCAGTTATGAAAGTGCCTTGTTATGATGGCAAGATTTGCTCCCAAGTATCAGGGTCTGGTATCACTGTTGAATGCTGATAGAAGAGGATTTCTTCCTCTATGGCTCCAAACTTCAACTATGGGGAATGCTCTCTCCATTGGGTTACAGAATAGGACAGACGGTGCAGGTAGCAACACCACGGTGGTTGTTCCTGTCCTTTGCAATATATATGTAACCTTTTTCACCCCACTTCACACCCCAGCTATTTTTAAGAATCCAGAATTTCTTCTCTTCATTTTGGTTTTCTTCTGTCGTTTGGTTTTCATGTCCATATCCAACCAACACTAAAGCATGGTTTGTGTGATGTGGTTTGCATTTTGGGTCAATGAAAATTCCTCCTCTATAGTAGATAAAGGGCTTCCATGTATTCACTGACACAGACACTGGTCCCACAGTTGCCACAGTCTTCATCAGAATTTATTCATTTCCAAAGGGGAGGACTATATGTTTTTTGATTTTAACAACTGCACATTCCTTGTTATAAGAGCACTTCTTATTTTTCTTGGCCACATAAGGGTAGCACTTCTCAGAGACTAAACCCTTACTTTTTTTTATATAGATGACAGCACCAATGGCACTTCCCCCATGACAGCCATGGAATCTGAAACAGTCAATTAGGTTCTGTTTACTCAGTTCTACAAGTTTGCCTTTTTTCCAAAAGAGCTGGCTTTCTAGAGATCCAGTTGCACTGAATGCCCAGCAAGAGCCGTACATCCTCTGATTTCTAACAGGGGTCACATAGCCAAGCTTTCTCCAGTTGATTGATTTGGGAAGATCATAAAAATCTGAAAAAATCTTGGCTGTGGTGGTATCTCTCCTTATCCTTGGTGGTGACATCTTGGGGTTCAGCATTTCCTTGAATTCTTTATCAGTCATGTCTCCGAAATCATTCATCTCCGGGTAGTAGGTCAGCTTCCCCTCTTTGTACAGGAGATTTTGATCATTAATGACCTCCAGGTTCTTCTCCCACACCTGTCTCCTAAAAGATTCCTCCTTCTTCAAATGGTCTCTATGTCCTTGGGAATTCTAAGATGCTTTAATGCAGGAGAGATCACAGGGGTCATCTAATCCAATTTATATCTAAGCCTGAGTCTTCTCTAAAATGTCTTTGAAGATATGTCTTTCCCTTTGAAGTCCTTGGTCAATTTAATAAATGACATAGCCACCTAAGCCACTTAGGGACAGCTCAAGTTGGTAGGCAGTTTCTCCTTATTACAGAACCAAGATCTACACCTTCCAAGCTTTTCTCTGAAGGTTGCCTTGTGCAGAAAAGTAAACTAAGTTTGATGGCTTTCCCACATGGATGTGTACTAGAGGGCACCTATGATAGTCATAGGTTTTACTCTTTTTTTAGGTTTTACTCTTCTTGATGAAGTCTAGAGGTTTAGGGGTGCTGGGACCCCAAGATCATGACACACAGGTCCTGCCTGAAAGAATTCGACCCATGCCTTCTTGCAGCCAATGACAAGGTTTATTAAAGATCTGCCATATTAGCCAGACTCTTAAGGAATCTGAGCATCTATGAGCTATTGACTAGATTGTAAAAATCTGAGCATGAGGCTAGATTTTAAGAATCTAAGCCTTTAGCGATCTTTTCATTTACTATATATATATATCGTTCTCTTGGTTCTGCTTATTTTGTTAACTCTTTCTCTCCCTCTCCCTATTTCTTTCTGCATCTGTTTACCTTGGTTCTGTTGGCCTCTCTACTATTGCCTCCCACTTTAATATCTTATCTTCTGATTCTTTCCCTTGATGCCTGTTAAAATCCATCCTTATGATGAATACAGGGAAGCATTGGAAGACTTATGTGGACTGATGTAGAGTGAAGTAAGCAGAGCCAAAAAAACAACATATGTAATGACTAAAACAATATAAACGGAAAGTAACACAAAACAATCAGAAGTGAATATTGTGGAATTGCAAAGAACAATCATGTTCCCAAAGAAGATATTTGGGAAGACAAAATTCCCCCTCATCCCACTCCTTTGCAGAAGGTTCGTGTGTGTGTGTGTGCGTGTGTGTGTGTGTGTGTGTGTAATGGCATATTGCATATATTTTAAGATCCTTTCAATATATACTGATTAATTTTTGATGACTTCCCCTCCCTTTTTTTCATTTGCTTAAAATTTATTTGTTAAATGGGATGGCTCTCAGGATGGGGAAAAGGGAGGAGAGTGGGATAAAGGAGGAAATTAAGTCATGTAAAAACCAAACATATCAATATAATTAATTTTTAAATTCTTTTGCTTGATTTTGTTATATTCTCAAGATAGTATTCTTTATCTTTTCTGACATTTATAGACAAACTAGAAAAAGTTACCTGTACTCATTGCCTCAATTTGCTCAATTTCCACTCACTTGTAAACTCATTGCAATCTAGATTTTAACACCACCACCTGACAAACTTTTCTCTTGATTGCTATATCTTAACTAAATTTAATGACCTTTCCCCCACCCCTCTTATCCTCATTATTGGCCTCTCTGAAGGTCTTAACACTGTAATTACCTCCTCTATTCCCATCTTCCTAGATACTCATTTACCTTATGGCTCCCATGAAACTGTTCTTTTTAGTTCTCCTACTATTCTAAATATTTCTGAATCTCCTTTTTTGGAACTTCAACTGTCTCCCACTAATTAAGTATGAATATCACTCATGTTTTGTTCTGGATTCTTTTCTTTCTTGACTTTCTATTTCCTAGTTATCTCATACTCTCCATGGGTTCAATTGTCAAATTCAAGCTTGCATCATCAACTGCTTACTAGACATCTCTACATGGACCTCCCCCTGGCATCTCAAACTCGATACAACAAAAAACCTCATTACCTTTCCTGATAAATCTAATTCTCCTCCATACTTCATTATTTCTTTTGGGAGCACTACCACCTTTTTATTAACCCAAATTATCGATCTAAGTCACTCTTGATTCTTTACTTTCCCCCACTTTCCATATCTAATGATTCACAAAGTTTTGTAGATGTTATTCCCCAACTCCTCTGGCATCTTCACCATATTTCTCCACTCATGTGACCACAATCCTGTGTTAGGCCCTCATCATGAAGCTGATCATATCATTCTAAGAGACAAGTCACTCGTTGGAAAAAATAAATACTCATTTGTTCTCTATTGCTTCTAGGGTGAAATACAACCTAACTTGACATTTAAAACCCTCCAGATGGCTCATATTTGCCTCATCAGGTTTTTTTTTCCTATGTTCCAGCCAACCTGTCCCACTATCTGCTCTTCAAGCTAGAAAGTTCATCTCTTAAGTCCACTCCTTTGCACAGACTATCCCTTATCATGGGAATTTGTTCTTCCTCATTACCTCCTTTCTCTCTCTGAATTGCTAATTTTCTCCTAGGCTAAGTTGAAGTGCTAACTGGGGAAGTCTTTTATGATCTCTCCAGTTGTTAGTGTTCACCTTTTCTTTAAATTATGTTGTTTTTAATTATCAGCATGCAGAGTATAGCCTTCTTAATGGGACATAAACTTTTTGAGGGCAAAAACCATTGCATCTTTGTCTTCATTTTTCCACTGTCTAAAACAGGACCTTACTCATAGTGGGGACCTAATGAAAATTTGCTGAATTGAGTGTGACTTCAAAACTAGAACTAAAAATAACAACTATATCATGAAATCAAGATCATACCTATGGGTTCATCTAAATCTCATTAACACTTTTATTACAATTCATTTCGTATAATAGCTGTATTTCAAATGAGTATTTTAAGTCTTCCAAGTACTTACTAGCAGGTTTCCAATGATAATAATCCCCACGTAAAAGACAAGGCACATGGTTTGGCCTGCCACCTCCATACAGTCCCACATGGTCTCTATCCATTCTCCACACAGTGCCCGGAACACAATAAGAAAGGAGTAGGTTATATGATGCATATTCCAACGTGGAAGTGAACAGTCAGTCATAATCTTGCAGGCATATATTTTGTAGTTGTGACCAAAGAACTGCAGGCCAACCACCGCAAAAATAAGAATGGTGATGACCAACACCAACGTCAAGCTTCTAAGAGCCTTCACAGAGCAACCAAGGATCTTGATCATCATTTTCATCATTGGCCAGTATTTTGTCAACTTGAAAACACGCAGCTAAAAATAAAGAGGAATAAACTACATTTTCCTGCTAGTTATAATTACAGTTTAATAGTTAATAGGCAATGGTCCTTAGGATAGCTATTTATGAAAATGCTAAAAATTAGGTAAAACTAAGATCTCAGTCTAATGAATACAACCCACCTAAAATTAGCTTTTTACACAGGTCATTAAAAAAAAAACACCTGAATTTCCATCTTCTTTCTGCTTGCTATTTTCTCAAAGACAACTATCTTTTATTTCTCTTAATGCTTTGCATGATTTGATTTAAACTGAAATTGTTATCATCACATCAATTATGAGAACTAAAACATAAGCAGAAAAGCAAGGTCACAGGAGAATTAATGTTTATCAAATACAAATTTGGGAAAAAATTTATTAAAGGTGCCAAGAAATAGGAGGTTACATAACTCTTGATCTTATATACTTTCTTAATATCCTTTTTGAGGTTTCAAAAGATATTGTTTGAACATTTTAAAGATTCCCTTCAACTTGCATATCACAAATCATTCATGACTTCTTGTCTTGTATGACTTTAGTTTATATCTTCTCATAAATCCTCGAAGATCCAGAGTCATAGTTTTTGGCATCTTCAGGGACTTAGTGTTACACCATGACTCACCTTGTCTGTTAGTTAGTTATAGATTTACACAATTGCTTATTTTGATTTCTATCTACCCACCATCTCCAGATAGTTTATTTCATTCCAGATCTTTGGTTCATTTTGATCATTGTCTTTTGGAAGTAAGAGGGGCCTACCCTGCTCCCATGTCTATCTAAAATTTTCCCCTTTGACGTATGAAGCTAAACTGTATCCTATTTCCTCTTCCTATGTCCATGACCTATGGTTGCCCATAATAGTCCTAGAAGTGACACCCAGTTCCTCAGTGTTTTGTACATGTATAATTCAAAACTGTTTTATGGATACTTACCCCTCTAAGTAAGATGAGAAATTGTAAAAGTGTAATATATACTGTATCTGGTATCCAAATGAAATACATCGCAAGTTCCCCTAAAGCAAGGGTCACGATAAAACTATCAAATACGTGCCATTTCTCTTGAAAATAATTATATGGGTGCAATGCAATAATTTTCAAAATCATTTCCAATACATAAATTCCAGCAAATACCTGAATAAAGGAAAAAAATAGAATAAAAGACCTGCAATTACATTTTGTTGTTGTTAAGTCATTTCAGTCATATCTGATTCTTCGGGACTCCATTTGGGATTTTCTTGGCAAAGATACTGTAGTGGTTTGCCATTTCCTTCTCCGGTTCATTTGACAAAGGAGGAAACTGAGGCAAACAAGATTAAGTGAGTTGCCCATGGTCAGACAGCTAGTAAGTATCTAAGGCTAGATTTGAACTCAGTTCTTCTTCACTTCAGGTTTGGCACTGTATCCACTGTGCCACCTAGCTTCCCATTGCCATTATATACGCATGTGTATGTATCAAGAATTTAAAAGCAATTGAACTATATCTTTTTAAATGTTTCAAGTCACTTAACCCTGTTTGCCTCAGTTCTTTATCGCTGAAATGTGTTAGAAAAGGGAATGGTGAACCACTATAGTATCTTTGCTCCAAGTCCAACTTGCCTCGTAGGGATCTTATATGGATCAAGTCAGATGACATATGTGAAAGCAAGTTGTAGACTATAAAGTGCTTTATAAATGTGACATTATCATCAATTATTATTTTATAAGAATAGATTATAACATCTGATGCCCAAATTTTCTGCAATGATCTCAGGTTGAATGATAGGCTTTGAAGTGCACTGGCAAAAGTCTTTCTGGCTGAGAATAAAAGAGGAACTATAAGAATGAATGATATCATTTTAAGACATTTGTCTCTCCTAGTCCGAATGATTTATCAAAAGAGAAAAAAATGAGTGGATAAGTAACATAATGGCAGTCAAAGTAAGGCTACTGAAGTTCTGACAAAATATATGATTAATTCAGGACTTTCATGTCAAGGTGCCAAAAATAGAAGCTCAGGAGCCAAGATGAGTGACTAAAGGGAACTTTATAGCTGAACTCTCCCAATATTCCTCTTTAAACAACTTTAAAATAGCACATCACATAACCAACAAAAAGTTGGGATAAAACATTTTCCCAGCCCATAACAATTTAGGAAGTCAGAAGGAGAGATATATGACACTAAAGTGGGGGCAGGCCAGGAGCACAGCATGGCAGCAGCTCCAACTGTGGGCCTCTTAAAGGTTGCAACTGCAGCAGCAACAGAAGTTACTAAGAGCTATCACCACCCATAGACTGTAAGGGGATTGAACACCTGGGCAGAAAGAGATTCCAGGGACCTCTGTACTAGCACTAGGTATAGGTCTCAACACTGTTTGGAAATTCCATTGCCCAATACTCCATTCTAGGTTGCAGTGCCAGAGTGGAGAGGAGCACTTGGATTATAAGGGAGCAAGGATCATAGTCCTGGGTTGCAGTTCCAGGGAGGAGTACTGTTCTGGTAGCAGAGACCAAGGGCTCTAACTGCATAAGGATTGGCATACAGACCAGGAGAGTACTGACCACACCTTTCTTGGGATCGTACAACCTTAGAAGCACAGAAAACTTATGTGTCCCCAGAACCAGATGAGAAAACAGCAGGTCAAAAAAAAATCCTAAAGTTTGGGACACGGACTCCTGCACCCTTCAACCAGGTGAAGAGAGTTCAACTCTAACATAGAGTTCAAAGTCAAGAAGTAGGATGGAAAAATGAGCAAACAACCAAAAATAACCTCACATTAAAAAGTTCTTATGGTGACAGGGAAGTTTAAGACACAAACTCAGAAGAAGATGATGGCAAGAAAACATCTCCAAGCAAAGCCTCAAACTAAAAACTCAGACTGGACATAAGCCCAACAGAAATTCCTAGGACAGTTAAAGAAAGAGACAAAGAAGAACAAAAATGATTTTAAAAATCAGAGTGGCAGGAAAAAATTGAGAAAAGAAAGGAGAGCAATGCAAGAAAATTATTAAAAAGGAATAAACAGCTTGGTAAAGGAGATACACAAATACTAAAGAAAGTAGCTCCTTAAAAAAGAATTGGCAAAATGGTAAAAGAGACACAGGACCTCACTGAAGAAATGGGCATATGGAAGCTAATAACTCCACAAGGCATCAAGAAACAATAAAACAAAATCAAAAGAATGAAAAAAGAAAAAAAGTGAAGTACCTCATAGGAAAAACAATGAATCTGGAAAATGGATTGAATAGAGATAATTTAAGAATTATTGCACTGCCTGAAACCCATGATCAGAAAAAGAACCTAGACATTGTATTTTGAGAAATTATAAAGGAAAACTGCCCATATATTTTAGAACCAGAGAGCAAAATTGAAATCAAAAGCATCCATCTATCACCTCCTGAAAAAATCCCAAAATGAAAACTTCTAGAAATATTATAGCCAAATTCCTAAGCTACCAGGTCAAGGAGAAAACAACCAGAAAGAAACAATTTAAATATTTGTGAAGCCACAGTCAGGGTCAGTCAAGATTTAGCAGCTCTCATCTTAAAGGAGCAGAACACTTAGAATATATATTCTGGAAAGCAATAGAACTAGGATTACAGTCAAGAATAACCTATCCAGCAAAACTAAGTAATATCATACTTTTATTCTACAGAGAAAAAAAAAGGACAATTAATGAAATAGAATACTTCCAGGCATTCTTGATTAAACAAACAAACAAACAAGCAAAAAAAAACAAAAGCTGTATAGAAAACTTCATTCAAAGACAAGATTTGAGACAAACATTGAAAAGTAAACATGAGGAATTTAATGAGGTTAAACTGTCTATATTACTAAATGAGAAGATGATACACGTAACCCCACAAGAACTTTATCATAGGGTTGTTAGAAGGAATCTACTTAGATGGAGGTGTGGGTGTGAGTTGATTATGTTAGACAATTAAAAAAGAAAAATGGAAGGCTAAGAAAGAAGGATGTACTGGGAGAAGTGGAAGGGCAATAAAGAATGGGGAAATTATTTCACATAGAAGAGGCATTCAAGGAAGAGTTCTGACAATGGAGAGGAAAATAGGGGGTGGAATGGACAAGTCGTGAATCTCACTAGCATTTGCATTGATTCAGGAGGGAAGAATATATTATATACACATGTAGTTGGGCATAGAAATTCATATTATCCAAGAGGATGATATGGGGTAGTAAGAGAAAATAGGAAAGAGATTAAAAGAAAGGTTGGTAAGAAGAAGGGAAGATTAAGGTAGACAGTGATCAGAAGCAAAACAGACTTTTGAGGAAGGATAGGATGAAAAAAGGAAAAAGAAGGAGAACAGAAGAAAATAGGATGGAGGGTGAATACACAGTAATGATAAGTGTGAATGCAAATGGGATGAATTCACCCATAAAATGGAAGTGGGTAGCAAAATGGATTAGAAATCAGAATCCAACAATATGTTGTTTACAAGAAACACTTGAAACAGAAAGACACAGTTAAAATAAGAAGCTGGAGCAGAATTTGTTTTGCTTCAGGTGAATTAGAAAAGGCAGGGTAGCAATAATGACTTACATGAACTGATGTGAAGTAAAGTGAGCAGAACCAGGAGAACAATTCATACAAAGATAACAAATATGGTAAAGACAAATAACTTTGAAAGAATTAGGAGGTTTGTTTAGTCTAATGACCAACTACATTTCTAGAGGACTAGTAATGAAACATGCTACCCAACTTCTGGTAGAGAGGTAAAGAAATCAGATGCCACAATGAAATCAAATTTTCTTTGACATGGCCAATGTGGAAATCTATTTTGCTGCAGAACTCTGGCTCCTGAGACATTGTTTATTTTATTAAAGTTCTGATTTTTCCAAATTTGGAAATAGAATTTTGAAAATTTATTATTTTCTTTTAATGATTGTCATATCAGTATGAGCATTGTGTAACCAATGAAGGCAGACAGTTCAAAAGTGACCATGAATAGCACCTTCTTTTCCAGACAAAATTTGTTCTCTGCTCACAGTTTAGTGTTTTGGCATATTTTGTTTCTTTTTTTTTTTTTGGATGTAGAATATATCCAAATTTGCACAGCATAACCAGTTTACTCACAAAAATCCTCATGAGGGCACTTAAAAGTCAATACTGATTAAAGATAATTGTATACACGATCCTCATACACTTACTGTGAAGAGTCATGGCCTCGTACATTTATTTATCTTACATTTCTTTAGATCCTACTGTAAAGATCACTCATTTAAGTAGCAGAGAGTTGACTATTGAAAATGGGGAATATATTAATCCCAACCTAGACCTTTCCAAATTATGTTTTTCTATTTGGTCACAAGGTAATTTTCATAGTTCTGGACAATCTGTCAAATAACATCCATTTTTTCAAATAATTTGTAAAAAATAAATCAAAGTGAAAAATAAAGAAATTAAAATGATGCTCTCCCAAGTGTTTTTTTGCACTAATTTCATTAATTTTCATAGAGACTATGATGGACTGTGCCCCATGTTAAGTGCTATGTTTATTTGATACTGAATATAAGAAAGTTTTAGTTAAAAGTCACAAAGCATTAAGTAACACGTTTACCTGGTGTCCCACAAAGAGAACATAGAAGAATTTCTCAGTCATTGGGTAGTGATCCAGGGCCATAAACAATAGGTTCATAATGACACAAATAACAATAACCAAGTCAAAAAATGGATCCATGACAATGGAATGGACACAGTCTTTGCATTTTAGCCAAAATGGACAGCAATTCCAGATCAGAAACCTTTTAGCAAATCTCTTCCACCAACTTCTTAGCCTGCACTTGTCAAGTTCTGGGAAGAAAGAACATAAAATATGAAAAAAATTCAGTTGTTTTATTTCTTTGTAATTCTCAATGAGTTAGTAAAACTTCTACCTCTTAGTTTTTCTAAAATAACTTTTAATCAGGCTTGTAGGTTTAAATTTTGCAAATGGAATGGGAAACTATAGATAAAAATACAATATATTCCACAATTATTTTCCATAGAATACAAGAAAATACATATATTTTCATGTAGAGAAACTAAGGTTGAGGAAGGTAAGTGTGATAAATAGGAAACTAAAAGCTGTTGATGAAGAAAATAAACATCTGAAATGCCATAATAGATATGAAAATTAATGATTTCTTTAAAAAGAGAATTTTGTTAAAGTTTTTAGTCTCATGAGATAATATCATCTTTTTCTCACTATGATTAGACTTGTAGCTTATATATGAACATTTCATGACAAATTGGGGGAGATTTCCTCATCTAGTCCTTGCCCTAAGTCCCCCAAATTATTCTGCAATGCTTAAAACATATACAGAGTAGATAGTTCTGTGACCTTCTTTGATAATACTTTCTAAAAATGACACTGTCATGAAACATCTTATTTTTCTCAAACCATCCTAAGTCTCTCACTCTATTTTTCAAAAGTCTGGTCATAATTTACCTGGAATTAATGGGGAAAAAAAGGTATAACATACCTTTCATGCTGTTTAATATGTTGGTTCTGCTCATTGTTTTTTCTCTAACAGTGGGATCTTCCAGCATATCCATAGAAACCTGGAAAGCATTTATTTGTCTTTCCTTCTCATCAACTTGCATAGTGCTTCCCTGTAAAGAAATTTGAAGAAGAAGCCTTCATTCTGGCTTCTGCCCAATAAATAAAGAGTACATTATGATTATTTTTGGTCTGATCTAGAAAGGTCAGCTAGAAGTCTCAGAAATCAACATGAGGTAGAATCAGAAAATCATACAGTTAATTCTCATCTCTTTTTCTAATCTTCCAACTTTCCCTATCTATATTCATTCCTTTTGTGCTGCCTACAAACATATCTAAGTTCCCTCCATACTTAAAAATTTGTTACTACTATCTATTTAACCTTTGATTCTATATGTCTCCTCCCTTCCTCCAGTCAAACTCCATGAAAGAGCAATTTATATTACATTCCTCTATTTTTTGTTAAGGCAATCGGGGTTAAGTGACTTGCCCAGGGTCACACAGCTAGTAAGTGTCAAGTGTTTGGTCTGAGGCTGGATTTGAACTCAGGTCCTCCAGGGCTGGTGCTCTATCCACTGTGCCACCTAGCTGCCCCTCATTCCTCTACTTCTTCTCCTGTCCCTACTCTTAACCTCCTCCAATTTGTCTTTCAACCTCAACAGTCAACTGAAACTTCTCTCTCCGGTTATCCATGATCTATTAATTATCAAACCTAATAGCCATTCCTAAATTGTATTCCTTCTCAACCTCTCTGCAGCATTTGGCGCTGTTGAACTCTTCCTCCTCCTGAATTTTCTCTCTTCTCTAGGTTTTCATGACACTGAACTTTCTTGGATTTCCTCCCACTTGTCTGACCAATTTTTCTCATTTTCCTTTGTTAGATCATTACTTACATTTTCCCCTCTAACTGTAGAAGTATACCTAGGTACTATTCTGGCCAATATTCTATTTTCTCTCTTTAGTTTCTTATTTGATATTATCATCAGCTCCCATTGGTTCAATGACCATTTCTATGGAAATGGCTTGCAACTTTATATATCCATTCCACCAATTGCCTATTAGTTATTTGAGCTAGAGATCCAGCAGTCATTTCAAACTCAATATGTTTAAACAGAACTCTGAGAGAAATGATTTTTAAAAATTATAGTAGTATCTAATTATTAAATTGGGATTCAAACTTTTCTTATTTCCTCATTGAGGGATCAGCCCCTCTAGATCAATACCTGAAGGACAAGGCTGATAAACGAGATTGCCCAAATACTCCGGGAACATGCTCTTGGAAGTTGGATGGGACTCCACCAAACTAGGAGACCTTATCAGGTCCAGCCTCAAAGCATTAAGCTTATGCCCTTGTACCCCAACTTGGAGTTTAGGGTGATCCAGCTAAAGAAGGTGAAAGTCAACCTGAGTGCTCTAGATAGAGATGTCCAGATTGCTAGAGAAGACTGAGTCTCAGAATCAAGCCATGTTCTCAACAAGAGGAGCTGAAAACTTTTAACCTACTTCCTAATTTAAATGTCCACTGCTTCATTAACTGTTCACCAGTTGGGGTTGATTTTCACATCAGAGGCACCACCCTCCCTTCCCAAAGGTATTTAAAGCATTCAATGTCTCCACGGTTTTGTCTTTGATTGATTATCAGTTAGTCTAATTAATAAATTGATTATTAATTATCAAGTAACTCTCTCATTTTCATTCACCTCAACTCATTATCTTTTCCTTTTCCAAATTCTCCTGTCTTCTGAGCTTTCCTATTACTGGTAAGGTCACTTCTATCCTCCTAGCCAGTCTGCCACTCTGATGCATCTGTGACTCCTTACTCTGGTCTACCTGATAAACTCAGCACTTCCCACTTCCACAGCATCTCTTGTTTTGGTCTCCTTTTCATTCACAAGACTAACACTTTAGTTCCAACACTCATCAGCTCTAATCTAGACTATTGTAATAACCTCCTAATTGGTTTCCATACTTCAAAGTCTCTTCCACTCCAATTTATCCTCCACACAGCTTTCAAAGTGATTTTTCCTAAAGTACAGGTCTGATAGTCCATCTTCTTTCCTCGTACCTTTTGCCTTGGCTGTCTTCCATGCTTGGACAACTTCTCTGGTTTCCTTTAATTTTTTTTGTTTTTGTTTTTGAACACTTTCAGCACTTTTTATGGTTTGATTTGTGTAAAGATAGTCATGAGACAACAGAATGTGAAATAGTGTCAGAAATTCCAGGCAGTGGACTTGGGCTCAAGTTAATAAGGCAAAGGAAAAGGGTCAGATCAGAGGGAGAATGAGGTAGGTCAGAATAGACAAGTATAGGACAAAACATAGCTTCAGTAATTCCAACAAAGGTTTTAGTCTTCCTAAATATTTTCTTTACAGGTAAGTCATATCTTGCTAGGTGGCGCAGAGGCACAGTGGCTAGGGTGCTGAGGCTGGAGTCAGGAAAACCTGAGTTTAAATTCATCCTCAGACACTTACTAGTTGTGTGACCCCATGCAAGTCACTTAACCCTATTTGCCTAAGTTTCCTCATCTGTAAAATGAGCTGAAAAAGGAAATGGCAAATCACTCCACTATCTTTGCCTAGAAAAACTGGAAGAGTTACAGATAACTGAAAATGAATAAACAACAAACAACAATAGCAGATCAGCTCTACCCATGGGGTAGAAAAAGCAAGCCATAGGGTAAAAAGAAGCTTAGTCAGCCACAATGATTTCTGATTTCTTTAAGGAGTTGTCTTGCTCAGTTTACAAATCTTCAGCATCTGGTTCTAAATGGATATTTTCCTGTCAAATTTAAAATTTTCATAAAGTTCAGATTACTTGTCCTAGCAAATAGAGAGTCTGAAACTAGGGTCTCAGCATCTTCATCATCATTACATACTTTTCCATAGCTGAAATTTTATCTGGCAAGTGATTTAATCCAATTCAATCTACGATTATTAAATGTGCTAGGTGCTGGGGAGACAGTCAAAGACAAAGGAGATTATATTCTAGTTTAGAAAGGTATTAAAGGTAGGTGGCCAGTGGCATTATGGGAAGAAAATCGGCCCCAGAATCAGGAAACTCTAGGTTCAAATTCCATCTTTAACACATACCGGTTTGTGACCTTTGGCAAGAGATTTGACCTCCCACTGTTCACAGGTAACTTTTTAAAATAATAAATTGTTTAGCAGGTGACTTACCTGTATTGGCAGAAGTAATTTCTTCATGGAGAGTTCTCTATATCAATGAAATTATAGTCTTTCTAAAAAAAATTGTGCAAATCAATGTGCTCAGTGCTTACCTTTTTTTTACTAGGAGTATGTACACAGATGAAGTCAATATAAAATAGAGAAAATGTAAATTAAGAGGGAAAGTATTAATATTGTGGGAGGGGGAATCAGGCTAGGACTGATGTTTGAGATACCATCTGTTTGAACCTTAAAGTAAGTGAGAGATTACAAAAGGCAAGGTGAGGAGAGAAAACATTTAAGGCATGTGCATAGTCATTGCAAAGGCACCATTAATGATCTTATTCAGTTCAGTTCCTGACTCCCTGTATTACTTTTCTACCTCCAACCTAATAGCCTTCTCAAGATGGAGCTGTCTTCTCCCCCTGGCCTCTTTCTCTTATTGATGAGTCCCTTTTTGGAACTTCCTTTTGAGTAAGCATCCATGACAGCCATCCTCATCTCTAACCTGGCTCAGCTCCTGACTCTCTGGACTGCTTTTTAGCTGTTCTCCAAGCCTTCTTGTGTCCTCCTCATCCCATACACCTTTGGTTTCCTTTTCCTTGTTATCTTTCTTCATTTGAATGTAAGTCCTTGAGGCCAGGGAGGGATACACTTTCTTTTATGTTTTATGCGTATTGACAAATTCACTGTAATTAGTACAGTGGTTGATATACAGTCAGTTTTAATGCATGATTTAACTATTTCTAATTTATAGAAAATTATTCATAGCTTCATGTACAATCAGCAAATAATTTCATATTCATCCCTGAGTAGTTATGTTTTAGCATAATATAATGATGAAAAGAGCTTTATGTCATACAGAAAGATCTCTTTTAAATCCCAGCTCTGACTTTTGCTATCTGTGCATGTTACCAAGGGCAAGTCACTTAATCCTCTGTGTATTTCACTATTCACATCTATACAATGGAGATAACAAACTCCCTACCTCACAGAGATGGGAAGAATTTACCTTGTAAATCCTAAATTCATATAAAAAGTGAGCATTTGCTATCATTAGCACAATTATGTGAGAGGCACCCAACACAGAGAAGACTAATTTTTCACCTTTCCTGGTTATTTACACTATTTAAAAAAAATGTGCCCAGATTTTAAAAAAGAAAAGAAAAAACAAAGAAAAAGAGTATAGTATAATGGTAGGCCAAAGGTGTGTTTTTTTTAAATTTTTTGTGGAAGTATGTAATCTGCTGCTCATATACTTTGTAGTCTCCAATGTGATTTTGAAGGAAGAAAGATCCCTTCCAATTATAAAATGATTCAGTCTCTTATCTCAAACAGATTATTTTTTGTGTCCTCAGAATTATTCCATTTCTTAATTGTCTAAGGTTTTCTTATTTAAAGACTTTCTTACTTTAGAGACTTTCTTATTTCTTATTTAGAGATTTTCATATTTTCCCAGAGGAAAGAAATCTCTTGTGAGAAAGTCTCTTTTTTAAGGGAAGGCCTATAACCTAACATACTCTAGGATGCTTTCAGTTAAGATGTCTTTTCTAAAGAAATATCATTAAAAACCATGGGAACATTACATTGAATGAACATATCACATTAGGTGTTTATGAAATAATTCCTCCTCACTCCCTCCTTTTTTTTTTCACCAGAAATGAAGTGTCATAGAGTAATTTTTAAGTTAGAATAATTAGATTGTAGATTTAGAGTTGAAAAGGACCTTGAAGATCCTGTAGGCCAACTTGTTCTATTTTTATAAAAGGAGGAAACAACCAGAGATAAGTGAAATAACTTGAATAAGAGTATGTAGACAATAGCAATTGGCAGATTAAGGATATGAACTCAGGTCCCTAGACTCCCAAATCCAGTGTTCTTTCCACTAATAGGCAGTTAGATGGCACATTGGACCTGGAGTTAGGAAGACCTGATTTTAAATGTGGCCTAAGATACCTGCTATGTGACTCTGGGCCAGTCCTAACCTTAGTCACCTGTGGTGTGTTGTGAGGATAAAATAAGATGATATTTGAAAAAGATTTTGCAAACCTTAAAGCACTATGAAAATGATAACTAGTTATTGTTGTTGAATTATGCTGGCAATCAGTTTGACAATGATATGAAAGTTGGATTGGAGAGAAAAGAGGCTAAAAGCAGGGAGACTAATTCTAACAATGACATCATTTGCATTCTTTAGAACATTTATGTAGGTTTATAGTCTGCCTTTGACTTAAATAACTGATAAAATATCAATTCGTAAAACAATACAATTATACATTCAACATGCTTCCTGTCATTTCATCATATTTTACAAATTCATGTATTTCAAAACATATTTTCTTAAATAATTTCAACATCCATGATTCATTTTTATATATTTTTTCAAAGTGAATTTGTCTTAGAACATCTGTCATTTTGAAAGTATACTGCAAGAATCTGGACTTCTTAAAAATCACAAATTCATTGCAAAAATATCAGATCCAAGGAGAAAGACACATTTATCTTTTCTCTATAAAATTACCTCCTTGCCCTCTCCCACACAAACCCATTTCTCCTCCCCATTAAACAAAAAGACTATGTGATTAGGATTAGTAATTCTTAGAAATTTGTTTATCTTATCATTGCTTATGTAAGAAAGTTGTTACCTGCTGTGTAAATGACCCCTTTTTATACATTATTCTCTGAGTGTTTATAACAGGAGGGGAAACTTTTCTTCTGATGCAGTCTTCTGATTCAAATTGATGCAATTTTGCATCAATTTCCTTTTCCTCTCTGTCAGTCTGCTTCTCTGGATTATCTTTCTTCCTTCCTTCATTAGTAAGATCTGAGATCTCATTGGATGTTTCAGAGGAACTTTCATCTTTACCAATCTTTTTCTTTTCATCTGATCCAATAGCTGTCGTTGCCTGTTAGGCCAGAGTTTAAATATGGCTTTAGGAGCAACACCAAGAAATTTCCTCAAAAAAAAAAAAATCAGTAAAGCAGTATGTTGTAAGTCAGTTCAGTACAGACTTAATTTGGACTTCAAATACTGGCCATATATACAAAGAGAGCTATGGTGCTTTTCCCTTGGTACAGCTAGGAAAGGCCAAAAAGTAGTTAGTGCCCTTATTCCCAACACTGATAATGTTTTGGAGTTTTATTGTATTTTAGCATGTAACTGTTGTATTACTTATAAAGGCATTATTGCTTTAATCTTAAGTCAAATTTGTAGGACAGAACAGTGTCTTTCCTTAGTTCCCTGTCACATAAAAACAAGAAATAAATGAAGCTATAACTGATACGTATGTATAACTAGATGGAAAATGACCTATACATTTTCAAAATACCTCATTATTAAGTTCTGTAAATATATTTACAGAACTTAATAATGAGGTATTTTGATTAATACATAATACAAATAATTAATTGCATTAATTACACATAATATATAATATAATTAATTAATACACAATACATAATATAAATAATAAATTTAATATAAACTAATTATCTGACTATGGAAATTTGGTATTTTAGATCAGTGGTTTCTATGTATTGCAGTACACCACAGAAATTTAAAAGATCTCCCAAACCAAAATAGAAGTCACCAAGTAGAAGCCAACGGTAATCCTTAGCAGTGAGGTTCTGGGCTTAGAGGAGATCTAGGTCAACTGGCTGTGACACTGAGTGGCAAAGGATTACACATTGAGACTTAAGCCCCTGGACAACTTGATTCCTTTGAATCCATCAGGTTCACTGCCACAAACATTGGTTGGGCGATTCTTGCCAAACCAATCTGGTTCCATTTAGTATATTTCAAGTCAAGTAATAGATATGTTAACTTAGAATGAAGTGATTAGAGAACATTAATTTGGAAGCAGGATGATAGATAGCTAGGCTTCTGGAGGTCCATTCAAGCCCTTTGTTTCTATGAAGTCTTTTAAAGTCAAAATGGCAATACCTCAGCAGCTTCTTGCTCTCTTCTGCATCGGTATAACATGGCTTGATAGTTCACCTGTCTTCGCTTTGCCTCTCTAATGGTTGCCCGATTCTGTTCTTCATAACCCATGGCAACTACAGCCAGTTTCAAGGTTACCAGATAAAAGGAGCAAAAGAAAATTACAATCACAAAAAATATCACGTAGGCCTTCCCAGCAGCTCGTAGGGTCTAAACCGGAATTGGGGGAGAAACAGAGAAAAATTATTTTTTTATGTTTTAACACAAAAAATTGTTATGAAAGTTATCATTATGTAGTTATGTGCTTGAGCAGATAGAGTCCTGGCCCTGGAGTCAGGAAGGCCTGAGTTCAAATTAGAGGAAACCCAAGATTTGATAGTTTCCTATGGAGATAGTAAATGCTATCACTTTTTTATTTAGAAAAAAATAGTTACTTCACAGGAAGATGCCCTTTTAGGAATTTAGGTAAAACTGACTTAGTTGTCATATATTGTGAAATATATCTTTTTCTTAAGTACTTTATTTTAGAAATATGACAACAGGGTAGAAAAATGGGGGAAGAGATAAAGGGAAGCTATAAATACTTTGAAGAAAGGGGAAAGAGAACTATTTTAGCTTCATTACTATTTGTTAGATAAGATAATTTCATAGCTTTTGCTGTCCTTCTTTCTTAGAAAGTTTTCTTACATCCATTTCCTACTGCTAAAAATCCTCACTGATTTTCCCTCCTCCCCCACCAACCTACATCAGAAACCCCACTGCTAACACAATTAGGTCACTTGTTCTTAAGCCTCAGGGATGAAAAACTCAATTAGGTAAGCTAAACTATGACAGTTTGTATTTAGATAAGGAAAAAAAAGGGTAACAATTTAGATTTCAAAATGAGCATTAATTTCCTTTCATTCATAATATCTTAATTATCTAAACAAAATTAAATATGTCAAAATATTTACATATTAATTTATATATAGAATAATACATAACCACTTTGAATTTAAAATATTTTGGATCATGTCTTTCCCTTACATATCTTCCATCTCTCAGCCCTCCCAAAATTATAAAATTTAATTAATTGAAATTATGTAAACAAACATGCTAAGAAGATCAACCATTGTCCAGATTACGGACTTTTATTTTAGACACAGAAGAGGACTATTAATACAAGAGTGGGGTAATATATAACAAAATGTCAGAAATTTCAAATTTCTGTTGGAATGATTTATAATCCCTCCTTTCCTTTTTAATATATTTTGTATTTTTTTAAAATATCAGAAAATCCCCATGAGTAAATGATTTTCCAAAGTTGGCCTATTTTGACCATATCATAGACTTTTTTTAGGCCACTGACATGCAATAAAATATATAAATGTTATAAACCAGGCATTGAAGTATATATTTTGGCCATCTACCTCAGGGTACCAGCCTTGTGGCTACAAGGTATTCAATGCTAGCGTTTGGGCAAAATACTCAGACAAAATACTAAGACTAAACAAAGTAGACTACCCCTGTTTTTTGCTGTCCTGAGGTCTCTCCTGCCCTGATCTCCTACCTAAACTTAGGGAAACTTCTTATGCTGAATAAATCATACTCATTCATTGACAATTTATTTTTAATGACCATATGGTTTATGAAAATCTAGGAAGATAACTGTAAAGAAGCTTTCCACCAGCAAAACTACAAAGAAACCACTTTTTTCCCCTTTGACCTCATTCTTATTCTCTCACTGGTCAACATCATTGCCCATGAAGAGAAAGATCAACGAAAGCAGTTGAATAATTAGAATTTACCAAGAATGTCCCAACAAGCAAACGCTCAAAGAAAACAGGGGCAAAGTTGTTAGTGGAACCAAATCTCTTTAGTCTCACAATTTCTAGTCTAATTTAATCTTGATCTGGGGTCTGGTTCCTACAGTAAGGTCTAGTTCCATTTGGCTTGTTCCACCAAGTTCTATATGTTCGATCCTAGATTGTGCCAGACTCAGACTGCAGTGGGCAAACAGGCTATCCCACCAACAGAATGGAAGGACTTGAATGGAATGCAAGATTAGGTGTCATCTTTTTTGCTGGGAAGCCCTGGGGAAAACAATCCAAGTGGCAGGGCCAAGTTGACATCTATAAGCAAACTCTCACGCAGCCATCTCTCTCTAGGGTTTCATCCCTGTCTTAAACTAATAGAGTGTTGAAGCAAAGAGGTGTTGAAATGGAGGTAGGATGGTGGTGAAGATTACAAAACCTGTTATACTTACTAGGAAAGTGACTGTAACCTTACTGAATCTTTTTAGCCTTAGTTTCTTCATTTGCAAAATGGATATAGCAATGTAGTATAACCTAACTCATAGAGTTGTAAGGAAAATGATTTGTAAGATGTAAAATTCAATGTAAATGTGATTTGACATCGTTTATTATAAAATAAATTATACTGTCAAATTAGATTTGGAGATTCCATTAGTTTTCTGGCTATATTCCTCTCGGAGTCTAGGAAGCAACAACCAATCTGTGTTTAACTAGTTTCACCACATAAATTTACATTGACTCTTTAAATGGAATTTGCAAAAAACTAAATTATTCAAGATAATTACAATAAGTTGCATTTAATAGCTTATTAGTGAAAGTCTTGCTTTTCAAATTACTTCACAGCAACTTATTTTTAATCAACATTAGAATAATATTTTGAAATGGGAAAAGATAGTGGATTTAATGACCAGATAGAGCTCCAGGAAAATATTAATAAAAGATTTGTGATCTTATAATTAGTCCCTCAAAAATGTATTTTATTGCTTCTGAAAATACAGCATAAATCCCATTTTGAAATGTTACCAAGTAGAATGAATGTTAAAAGTGAAAGGCTTTTTAAAAAGATTCTACATGATGATAAATCTGATGAAATTACATGACATTTTATGTCAATCACAAAAATGCAGCATATGACTTGGTTCTCACCTGTTGGTAAAGGCTTTCCCAAAAATCCAAGGTCATTAATCTGAATAGGGACAAGAAAGCCCAGCCAAAATTATCAAAATTTGTGTAGCCATAATCAGGATTTCCACCAGTTTTCACACATACATATCCTTCTGGACATTGACTACACATAAGAGAAAGAATTAATTTATTTTAGTTTATTTTTTGATCTGTTTAAGAAACAAGTAATTCATACTATGTTTTAAACTAGCTTACTCTCACTTAAATACGGAACAAAATGCCAGGCATTCTATTTTCAGTTGTATAGGGAGTCAGAATAAACCTGTATCTTTTATAAGGGCCTGAAACCATCATACCACTTTTTTTGTTTAGAGCTATTTTTTTACAGGTATTTGGAGTGGTTTGGGGGAAAGTCCAAGCAAGTCACTGCTTTTACTCTGCCATCTTCATACCACTTTTTTCAAAAACAAGTTTGGCCAATAAGGATAAATGGATATTTATTGGATAAATTTCTTGTGTACAGAGATAATATCATAATCATCTTTCTATCCCCTACAGAATTTACTACAGTGTATGGCACACTTGCTGAATTGAATTCTTCCAACTAAAATGGTACAGGGAAAAGGAAACAGGTTAGTTTATATCATACTTCAAGGAATTTCTGCAAAAAAAATATTTCCCAAGAATATTCTTTAATTAAGATGATTTTTATGACCTTTATTCACAAGGACAATGACAAACAGTTATCTGAAAGTTGACTGAGCTGCCCCAGGAATTAATAGCTTCCCCTTCACTAGAGGCTTCAAGTAAAGGCCAGACCCCTTAGGCAGGTTGTAGACACAGTAGATTCTTGTTTGGGTGTAGAATGGACCTGATGGACCCTGAGGTCCCTTCCTACTCTAATATTTTGTTACTACCTATAACGGAGAACTTACCGTTTCATCCTCAGGTTCTTTATCTATAACATGGAAAGGAAAACATTTGAACTACCTGAACTACAGCGTTCATTCTGAGGACAGAGCTTTACAAACTATAAAGGATTATATAAACTTGAGTCACGGTGATATTATCTTAAATCTCTTTGTACCTCTCAGTGCCTAGCTTATAATAGATTCTCAGTGAATATTTGTCGGTAGATTGATGTCTTATCATCTGATGGAGCCTGTGGAGAAAAACACAACACAATACAATAAGATACTACTTACCCAGCAAAGGTACTATTGCCACAAAGGACAGCATTCATTTCTCCTTCCAAATGAAAAATGTCATATCCTAAAAATATGAATGAGAAAATGTATTAAACTGGTACCATTACTCAGGATTTTAGAAGCTCATTATAGATGTATCATATATTTAGGATCATCCCTAAGGAAAATTATGCAGTGGGTGACATTTGCCCTGGCCTACACTTCTTGCATTTCATAAGATCCTAGATTCAGAGGTGGAAGAAACATGAAAAATCATCTAGTTCAACCCTCACATTTTACAGATAAAAAAAAATTAGGCCTAGAGAACTTACAGGACTTGTTCAAGGTCACAAAGATAGTATCAATTTAGAGAATTGAGACTCGTCTCAAAATTTAGTGCTCTTTCCACTACTTCTTATTGACTACTTCAAAGACCTTTATTTCTATCAGCTAATAAACATGTATTAAGTACCTACTAGGTGTCAGGCACTATACAAGTGCTGAGGATACAAAAAGGATGAAAGGCTATCCCTGCTGTCAAGGAGTTTACAATCTAATAGGAGAAACAACATGTAAACAATTATGTACAAACAAGCTATATATGAGATAAATTGGAGATAATCAACAGAGGGCCAACACTAGTATATAAGATAGGGAAATACTTCTTGTAGAAAATGAGATTTCAGCTGGAACTTAAAGGAAGCTAGGAGGCAGAGATGAGAAGGGAAAGCATTCAATGCATGGAGGACAGCCAGTGGAAATAATTAGAGCCAGGAGATGGAGTGTTAGGTCTTAGAAACATCAAAGAGGCCAATGTGACTGGATCATGGAGTGCATGGGAGAGTGGAAGGAAGAAGAAGACCAAACAGTTAGGGAGGCAGGTGATGAAGGGCTTTGAATGCTAAATAGAGGATATTATATGTGATCTTGGAGGTGACTGGCAGCCACTGGAGTTTATTGAGCAGGGAAGGTGATATGGTCAGACTATACCTTATCTCTCACTTTCAGACATATTCACTCTGATTTATAAATAACTGATAAATTAATGAGTTTCATTAATGAAGAAAACATTACCAATTAAGCGAGAGATTGTCCTCGCTTCGATTGGTCCAAGAGTGCAGGACTAGGACTAATGTGACAAAATATACAGAAACATAATTTTGCTTAATATAACAAGGAAGCCAGATGGAGGAGGCAGAACGCTTTCCTTCTTTGTTCACCAACAATTCTGATGCAGGTGCAGATGAACTAGGAGAGGTTATCAAAGATGGCATCTGCTCAAACCCCTTACTACTTGGTCTCTGATATTCAATATGGCATGGTTTTTCATATGGGAGATGAAGCAAAGGAGATGATGATAATGATGATGACTATAATAATGATGGCCATGGTAAAGAGGAGGAGGAAGGAATGGAGTACATCGATGAAGAAAGTAATAAAAATGAAGAGAAGGGAAAGGAAGATGAAGAAAAAAAGGGCTAATTGAAGTAGGATCACAAATTTCCTCTTACCTTTTAAAAATTTTATCCAGTCCCTGGGAGAAAATTAATTCCTTTTACCTTAAAATTTTCTCTTGTGCTCAGTTGCTCTCAGTTCTTGTGTTCTCTCTCTCTGCCTCTGCCTATGTTTGTGTCATTTTTGTGTGTATATGTCTGTGTCTGTTGATCCCCCCTCTTCACATTATGATTTACAACTAGAAGCTGGGGGTAGGCAGAAGAAAGTAGGAAATTAATCTACCAAATAGTTCTTTTCTAAGTTCATTTTATCCAGTCTGGATAAAAAAAATGTTTATTGAATCAACTAACAGTATTCTGCTGGGGGGAAAAAGAATAAAATTTTCTTTGCATTGCTGGAGCTTAAAGGAAGATGGCCCTTGTGTAAGAGTGCTTAGAATGCAAGCATTTTTTTTTCCTTTTTTCTCTGTTCATTGGATTCAGAGATAGGACAGCTGGCATTTACCAACACAAATCTGTATATTTCCTCTCTCTCTCCCCCCTCCTCCCCCCTCTCTCTCTCAATAATTCATAAAACCTAGGTTATAGCCAGTTAGTCAGGATAGGTTTGGGATGTTTGAGTGGGTTACACAGATATTTTGATATCATGGCTTCTGCCTTTTTTACATGTTTAATTGTGATGTTATCTGATGCCCTTGCAGATTATGATGATAGCTTAAAAAAAATTCTCTCCTAATGATGACTTTAGTCTTTCCAGTCAATGGAGGATAGAATATAAAAGTTCTAGTTTGGAATTGATGTTCCCTACTGTAATTTAGTTTTTATTGCAAAATTTTTCTTTTCATTCACTTCAAAGAATTCTGTTCTGTTTTAATGTGAAAATATACAAATTGCTGTTACAATAAAACTAAATGCATACACAGAGAGAGGAGAGACCAGGGAAAGGCAGAAAGGAAAAAATAAAGAATACAATGATCAGTAATGGAAGGCTTAAGAATGCCAAGAAAATAAGACAAACAGGTGAGTCATAAGAATTCTGAAATGGAGAAATGCCGTAAGGGTTGATATATGTGTATACACATACACACATACATACATACACACATACACACATAATACATATACATTATATGTATATATATATATTTATACATAACAGAAAAATATTTGCCTGACTATGACTTCAAAATTATTCTTCATTTGATGCATATAAGGCTATCATTTCAATAAATGCTTTTGAAACCAAGAGATTCTTAAAGCAGCAGCATTTGACTCAAGAACAAACTGTCAACATTTTATTTTTGACTGATTCAAAAGATACATTTAAATTTGAGTGGTAGATTATTTGATGTGGAATAAAGTTGATTATGCTTCTGACAGACTAAAATAAAGCACAATTCATAGTATTTGCAATGAACAGTAAAGATCTGAATTCTTATAAGTTAATAAGAATAGAAATTGCATTAATGTATCTAGGTTGTTGGTTTCTATAATATTAAGATGAAAATATAAACAACTCACATTTCTTTAGTCCTTAAAGATTTACAAAGTACTTACTTTAAAAAAAAAAGTCTGTGAGGTAGATAGTGCTGTTATTATCATTTCCATTTAGCAGATCACAAAGCCATGGATCGAAGAGATTAAGTGTTATAGTCATACTACTAAGAATAGTAGCCCTGGGATTTGATCTCAAGTCTTGACTTCCAGTCTAAGGATCCTTTTTTCTATGTCATATTGTCTCAGCTATTTTTTTTCTTTGCTTTTATCTGCAATACTTTTTAGAAATCATTACAAAACGTTTGTTTTCCTTTGAAAAAAGCCCTCTGAGGGTACCACTTCAGTCTTTCCCTAGTGATGCTATAAAAAAAAGGAGTTGGACCAGATGATCTCTCAGGTCCATTCTAGCTCTCCATCTATGATCCCCCATTAGAAGGCAAGTCCCTTGAAGGCAGGGACTGTCTTTCTGTTTATATTTAGTGAACTTCCATTCTTAGTTATCCTTGATTGGAATACCTGGAGACATAAATGAGATATTTACAACTGAGGTCGAAAAAAGAAAGAGAAAAAAATCCATAAAGTTATCTAGATCCATGACCAAATTAATTAAACGCATTTGAATCATTGTGACTTCACTGGAGTCCAGCATTAACACATTTGCTGGAAGACTGCATACTTTTGGAGTTGTGATGCTTACTTTCATCGTCTGACAGAGTATCAGTCATATTTCTCTCTTCCTGAGGCCATGGTAAACATTTATGCTTCAGGCTGCCCATGAATAGCTGCATCCCCATGACAGCAAAGACACTCAAACAAAACACAGTTAGGATCACTGCATGACAAAACATCTTTGCTGACCCAGTCAGGGTCCTGATGATAATACTCATACCTGAAAAGAGGGAGGGGAAAAAAAGCATTGTTACAATTGAAATTAAACATCTAACTGAATAAATTATCAACTTTTTTGTTGCAAAACATATGTGAGGCTTCAAACCAATGACTGTGTGCCACAAGTGACCTTGTTCTTGTTCAGTTGTGCACAACTCTTCATGACCACATTTGGGGTTTTCTTGGCAAATATGCTGGAGTGGTTTGCCATTTCCTTCTCTAGATCACTTTATAGATGAGGAAACTGAGGTAAACAGGGTTCAGGGACTTGCCAGAGTCACAGAGCTAGTAAGTTTCTGAGCCCAGATTTGAACTAAGGAAGATGAGTCTTCTTGTGTCCAGACCTGGTGCTTTATCTGCTGTACCACCTAGATACCCACAATGTCCTAGTTTTCATCAAAATGCTAAGATAGGTAAGAACTCAATGTTTACATGCAGCAGTATTACTATAAAGGTTACTGGGTCACATTACACATCGCAAAATATTCTCCAGGACACTTGTGGGAAAACTTAAATGAATGAGCTGCTTGCTATATAATTTCATTATATAAAGGGAAGCCGTCTATTTCACTAATCAATTCTTGTTAAGCACAGTATCTTTCTTTAGTGGGATGTTGGTAGAGCAGAAACATAATGTTGAGCTACAAATCCTGACAACATGAAGAAGGTTTTGAATTAAGATGTGATTTGTTGGCAACAGCAACAACCATAGGACATATACAAAGCCTTTCCACGTTTGCATAATTCTTTGCACATTTCATTTGAGCTTCATAACGCCCTTATGAACTCGGTATTAAAGGGACTATTAGCTGTATTACTATTGAAATAAAGACTTTAACATTTTAATTGGATTGAGATTTCCTATCATGAGTATGCAAAGTAAGAACCATTTAAAATTATATTTTAAACAGGAGAAAAAGTTTCATTTAACCTCAATGGCTCTTATGTAGACTGCGAGAGCCATAATTTTGAATTAAACTCCTAAACCTTATTGTCAATAGTAACGTCATTTAAAATTGATTATTCTTTTATTTTTGATTTTAATAGCATTTAATAGCATTAATATCACATAACAAGGTTTTTGATGAAAATCATTTCATCCCTACCTATTCTTGTACCCACCCCTGAAGTAAAAGTTAGCACCACAGGCTTCATAGTTTCATAGTGGAAAAGGGCTTTAGAGGTCCGTTAGTTAACACTTCTTCATTTTATAGTGGAAGAAACTGAGGCCTACAGAGGTTAAGATACTCACCCAGAGTCAAATAAATGAGCCAAGGACCACTGATTCCAAATCCATGTCTCTGGCATGCTTCTTTACATAGCTTTCATATACCAAAGAAGTATTATTATTTAATCTGGTTTTCAGACTGAAATGGTTTTCTAAGTGTGATACAGAACAGCCCTGGATTTGGAGTCAGGGGTCCTGGGTTTGAATCCTAGTTCTGCTATTTAATACCTACGTTGTTTTAGTTTAGTCATTCAGTCATACCCGACTCTTCATGAACCCATTTAGGGTTTCTTGGCAAAGATACTGGAGTGGTTTGCCATTTCCTTCTCCAGCTCATTTTACAGATGAGGAAACTGAGGCAAACAGGGTTCAGTGACTGGCCTGGACCCATATAGCTAGTAAGGATCTGAAACTGGAGTTGAACTCTGGAAGATGTCTTCCTGACTTCAGGCCCAGCTCTCTATCCACTGCACCAACTAGCTAGCCTAAAACCTTGGAGAAATCACTTCATTTTTCTGAGTTTCAGGTTCCTCATGGGTCAGATAAAGGAGGCTGACAGCTCAGTTTTCTTCTAGCTCCCAATCTGTGATCCCAGGAGTTAAAAAATTCCAAAATTTCTCAATTTCAATACTATATATGGTATTAGATAATTATAATTGGGAAGTTCACATACAAACATACCACCTTCCACTCCCCAAAAATACCCACAGGGCTAGAAAGGCAATGATCCTAAAGACTGTGCAGATCACATCTTACCTGTGGTTAGAGAAATAGCTTTCAAAACTCTCAAAAATGAGAAAATTCCAAGAGCTGAAACACTGCCTAGATTTACAAATATGCTCAGATACCTGTGGAGTTAAATGAGAATTATTAAAAAACTTAGACATATTTCAAAGGAACCTAATGATATTATTTATCAATTTCAATGCTTTTTTGAACTTATTAGGGAAAATTATAGTCAAGTATTATCTTCTATGTGTAGTAGAAATCTATTATCAACAAGAAAATTACTTTAATAGAAAGAAATCAAAGAATATGAGAACCGGAAGAGATTTCAGAGCCCAATAAAATAAGAATCCCTGGTGCCATCTCTGATCAGTGGTGATGTAGCCCTTGTAGGGAGATCACTAGAAAGGTGGTATTCATTGCCTTTAGATTACTATTACTGTCAACCAGCACTCATTATTCTTTTGGGCATGAATCAAATTTACAATCAAATATACATATTTAATCAATCTAATTTTGCTTTTCCATGAGAATCCATCAAATACTTGAGGACCACAATCATGTTCTCCAATTCTCTTAAAATCTCCTTCTTTCCCTCCCCTGCAAAAGTAGCTAAGCCATATGGTACACAAGTAAGATTCATTTAGTATTTTCAAATGATCATGTGGCGTAGTTCAAAAACCTGGGTTTCTAGTTATACAATAGGTTCAAATTCTGGCTCTGCATTTATTATCTGTATGACTTTGGACAAGTAACCACCTCTCTGAAATTCAGTTTCCTCATCTATGAAATGAGAGGGACGGACCTGATAATCTCTAAAGTTCTTTACAACTATAAATTCTATCACCTAAAAAATGAATTATGACTTGCTAAAATAGGGGAAGCAATATAGATATTCTTAATGTCCCATATAAATATATTGTCTGCAAAAATATATTCCGAACTAGGAGCGTCCATATTTCCTTCTTGACGTTGGGTAAATATGTTACATTTAGGAAAATTAACACAGTCTACTGAATTTTTAGTGTATCAAATAGAAACACTAAGAGATTTTGATATAAAAGTAAACATTTTGACAAGAAAGCCTGGAAATATGTCTCCACTAAAAAAATTGTTAAACAACATTTCATTTAGAAAAAAAAAAGGAAGAGCTTGCTAAATATCCCTGGTTAGAATGTAAGCTCCTTGAGGACAGGTAATGGGCTTTTTTTTTGTCTTTGTGGCCTTAGTATTTATAATGCCTGAAACATTATAGACATATTAATACATGTTTGTTGATAGAGTGATTTAAAACCCACCTAATACATAGTTAAACTATGTATTTAGGGTAGTAATCTAAAGATTGTTTTTGATAGATGATTTAATCCTTATTTTTAAGACATTTTAAGACATTTAAGACATTAAAAGCATATTTTAAGTACTGAAGTACTGTAAGCTAGCAAAAGGAACATTTGGCTAAGAATCAAAGGCTCTGAGAATCAAGGGCTCTGTTCCAATTCCTAAATGAATGTCTACCCATTTTCTTAGGACAGTTTGGACAACACACAATGTCATTTTTACAGTAATTCCCTTAGCTTTAGAATGGAAATAAAATCATGCATCCTTTATCTATAGCCAAATTTTGAGTATGGAAGGAGATAACAAATATATAGCCCTTGGGATTCATTAAGATAAATTTTACAATATGTAAAATTCCAGATACAGATACTAATGAGTATGATTCATGAATTATCCTTTTGTTTTTTCTTAAAATATTTGTTTTCAAAAATGTTGCTGGTTTTCAATTTTAAGGAAAATATATGAAAATACTTACGCATAGGCAAGAATATGAACATCAAACCAGTTCCAGGGATCACGAAGGAATGTGAATGGCCCTATACAGAAACCTCTTGCAAGGATTTTTATGAGGACTTCAAAAGTATATAGTCCAATGAAAGAGAACCTGAAGGCAAGTATCCACAGGTACATTAGATGGAAGAATGACACATCAATAGTCATGAAAGAAATCCTTGAACATTGGTGCAAATCTATACCAGATAAGTCTCTTAGAAAGATTAAAGGCAGAATTTTTAAATGGCTATTCGTGGCACTAGCAATCTTCTTGCTCCAAAGCAAGGGTTAGAATAAATCTATCTCACAACCCAAGTAACCCTGAAGTTCAGGGATTCTAGAGACAAAAATGCCTTGGATGCTACCATTAGCATTTCCAAAATCATGACTTGAAAAAAAAAAGCTGGCAAAGATGCATAACATAATTAATATATTACCAACCAGTTTCTAAGATGAAATGTCTACTCAACTAGTCAAGAACAAGTGGCCTCCAAAGAAGATTCTGAGGAATTCCTTTTCCCAAAAAGCTGTGGGTGAGTCTAATGCTTTCTTGATAGTTGACTAGGTTTTTTTGTTTGTTTGCCTGTCTGTTTGTTTGCTTTTGAATTGTCCCAATGCTAGAAGTGCTCACAAAAGGATGGGTATAACTACATCCCCAAGGGAGAACTACACAAAACAGATAAAGAAATCAATGACTTTTTGATGCAATGTGGAAACATGAACGTTCTAATTAAAATCTATTTTAGAGATATTTTGTTTACTTACTCAAAATAATTTATCCAATCTGGAGGGTTAAGGTTTGTCAGAAATGTACAGTTGAACAGGAAAGTGCCCATAAGGATCATGTTGAATAAGGTAGGTGAGAGTCAAGGAATGTAAGATGATAAATCATGTTAGAGATTTCCAATGTATGTGATCAGGATAGTTATCTATGTGTTGATAACGTACAACTTCTTACTATAACATAACTGTCAAATCACTTTCAAGAAGCCATTTCTCCCTCTACTTTGCACAGCTTTGCAAAGCAAAACAAATATTTAAAATGTTATCTTTAAATGAGGACTACTAACATGACTATTCTCCAGATAAGTATATCTCTTTTTCCACTTAATTAAAAGGAAGTTAATGGACTAATATCAGAGATTCTTTCCAAGTGGAAAATGGAATAAAAGTCAGATCTAAATGCTGAAACAATTGTATTCCCTTAGCTTTATTTTGCTTTTAAGAAAATAACTGCTGATGAGTCACTGGAAAAGGATATCAATTTACCAGAATCTTAATGGATAGTCTTCTAATAATATGGAAAGGAGTTAACATGTACAATGCAGGGGAGGCATTGAATCGGAAGACTGTTTTTCTTTTATTCAACACTATGAAAGTCTGTAGGAGGAAATAAGAATACAGTGAGAAAATAGCATTCTCATTTTACAGATATTCATTTGATATTCATTGCTGTTTATTAAATTACTCCTTAGGATAAATATTTTATATATATATGTAAAACATATAAATTATATTACCTATTTTATGACATATTGCAATATGTAGTAATACATTAACATATATAACATGACCTACATACATGTGCATGTTACATAATAATGTTATATACATGCATTGCACATGTGTGTATATATCATATGTAATGTGTCTTATATATGTATCTTGTAATTTTATGACACTGCAAATATAGGATTATAAAAGATTAGAAGTAGTGATGAACATCTAATCATCTTACTTAACAGATGAAGAAAGACTGAGAGGCAAAGATAACTCTTCTGAGGTCACATAGCTAATAGTGGCAGAGCCCAGAAGAGAGCTCTGACCTAAACATTGGACCTACATGTGGCCATACCTAAATAATTGAAGTTAAGGGTATATGATTTTATCTTTAGGAACTCTGTCCACTGACATACAAGTCAGCCACTGTCCCCATCAGTAGGCCATCTTCATGAACTGCTGTGTTCTCAATAGTCATTATCCTACAGAAAATCTAGTAATGACCCTCTCTGAATTTAACTAGGTTAGGCCTTGGATACCAAACATGTTACTGCCCCTTGCTTGAGTTAACAGGTAGCATGTTAGCCAAGAAACATAAAGAGGCCTATTGGAAGGCCTCCATTGCATTGACCTGATCCTTAATGGAGGATTTGGTGAAGAACATGTGAAAAGTATTGTGTCAGATGAGGATAGTATAGATAGATCGCATTTTGTACCAGTTTAGGTAATATCTACTACCTCATGCCTGGAATGGAACCCCAATCTTTGCTTATCAAAATCTCTTCCTCTTTCAAGACCTGACTCAGGTGCCACTTCTTCCACAAAATCATCTCAGATTTCCCCAAACTGAAAGTATGATCCCTCCTCAAACCTCATGACAATTTATTTGTGTCTTTTCTTTTCACTATTCATATTCTACTTTGTATGGCTTATGTGTTTGCATACTTTATATTTTCTATTACGTTGTAAGCCTTTTGAAAGTTAGGATCTATGTCTTATATTGTCTCTGTATCATTGTATGCCTAGTACAATGTGTTTCACATAAAGATAGGGACAGTTGGCAAACCTGTACCCCCACCGATATAGGAAACTCCCTCTCTGATAAGGAAATACTTTCTTCATATTCAGGTTGAATTTTCCCCTGCAACTTATAGCCTTAAAGAGTTGTTTAGACTAGAGTACTGAGGGGGTAAGTAATTTGCCAAAGTTGACATAGCAGCAAGTATCAGAAGTAGGTTTTGAACCCAGGTCTGTTTGGATTTGAAGATTGTATTCTATTGATTATACCATTCAGTACTCATGTAGAATATAAAGAAATGTGTAGAATGAAGGAAAATAAAAGATCACAAATATTATACTGATTTGCATATAGGTGGCTCTGGAAGATCTCAATTCAAATTTTGTCTCAAACACTTACTAACTATACGACCTTGGGCAAGTCACCTAACATCTCTCAGCCTCAGTTTTCTCATCTGTAAAATGAGTTGTTGTGAGAATCAAATGAGATAATATATAAATCACTTTGCAAACCTTAAAGTACTATATAAATGCTAGTGAGGATGAGGATGACAATGATAATGAACTTTATTTTGATAAGAGTGCCTTTGATGCTAGGCAAAGTTCTGGAATGTATTTTTATGAATATTTTGTTCTAGAATGGAATGTAGTCATTTCTAGGAACCACACTAATCACATTTTTCTCTTTTGATGTAGTTAAATTATTAGATCAGGGTAATATTATATACATGTTCAAAAAAACATCAATGTTAGTCAATGTACTTGACTTTGTCTATGAACAAGAGAGAGATATGTGGAGTGGAAAATAATATGGTTAGTTGGATTTACACTCAAAGAAGCTAAAGAAAAAATAGCACACTATAGTAAAGTCTCTAGTGGTATGCCTTAGGCCTTTGTTCTTGGTCATATCTCTAAAAAAAATTTAACAATGAGTTGGATGAAGACAGAGATCATTTATAAAATTAGCAGATGATACAAAACTGGAAGAGTTAATTCATCAGATGATAATATCATGATCCAAGAAAAAATCTCAACAATATTCAACAGTGAACCAAATCTAATGTGACAAAATCTAGTAGGAATAAATCTGAGTTTTGCATTTAGACTAAAACAATTTTTAAAGCTCAAATACTAAATGGAGGTGAGTCTTTTTTCACACAAGTCTCCATGCACACAAGGTTTGCTTTTATTGAAATATCAATGACTCAATACTTTGATGTGACCAATATCAGTCAAAATAGCATATCTACCTCAAAGACTCTTCATGAATTTCAATTCACATAAATAACGTATATAATTTTTTTTCAAAATTTAAAATACTATATAAATGTCAAATCTTCATATGGTAGAATACTGGTTTGTGTTCTAATCCTCCCTCTTAGTCCACTTGTAATTAATTCACATAGTTCCTTGATTGCAGAAGCCACATTTGCTTTTTTTTAATGCCCTAAAATATCTAGCATGTTGTTTATCACAGAGTAGACATTCAATAAACACATGTTGATTGGTTGATTGATGAATGGTCAGTCATTGGTGTTGGGTCAGCATATCAGATATTTAATGAATATCCACAAGAGTAATTCAACGTGAAAAACATTGTGTTAAGGACTAGTTATAAAAAGGCAAAAATTAAATAGTCCCAGCCCCCATAAATTAGCATTCCATTGGGCACCACATCAAATTTATTTAACATTTAAAAAGTAAAGGAATCAAGATGTCAGTGACAGAATCAACTTTGATTAAACCTAAGAAGGCATCTTCGAGAGTTCAATATTTAAAATTTTACTCAGTCTATTTATTCTTCAAGCCTTTTCATATTCCAATTTAAATCTTTTCATTCATGGAAGCTAAAATAGAAATATTTTCCCTGTTCCCATAGGAAATGCTCACATTTTTTTCCAGGTAGTATGGATCCAGGTCTTCCAGAGGCTCTGACACCATCTCTGGAGGAACATTGCCATAGAAAAAGGGCAGCTGTTTACCGACTTCCAAGTCACTATTTGGCTCTAGTCCTTCTTCTTCTTCCTCACTTTTCCTGGTAGTAGCGCATTCTTCGGCAAGAGCAAGAGATTTTCTGGTAAAGTAGTTGAAATTGTTGGGTCTTGCCATCTTTAAATCTCTTTTGGGTCCTTAGAGAGCCCTGAATAAAAAGCAAGAAAAATAGTGATGAGAAAAACATATATTAGGGGAAGGGAATACAACAAGAGGTTCATATGTGTTCAGTTGTGACCACAAAATGCAAAGTATCAGATTCGAATTTTTAATCAGGTTTTTGTATTGAATATGTATTCAAAAGCCCTTACAACAAATAATATTAATCAGTAGACCAAGCATTACAGGAGCTTATCACTCCCCACTTCCCAGGACCCCCATTTCAATCTTATCATTCTTGTAAATCTATGTATTATCCTCATTTTTTCCTCTCCTTTAGATATTGCTTTATAATTGTCGCTATATTGTTATTTAAGCTTTTCAGATTGTTTTCTTTCTCCAATTAGATCAAAACTTTGTCAGAATCAGTGATTATCAGTGATCATTCTATACTCTTTAAAGCTTCAGTAAAATACTCTCTGTCTCTGTTTCTGTCTCTGTTTGTCTCTCTCTCTGTCTCTGTCTGTCTCTGTCTCTGTCTCTCTGTCTCTCTCTCTCTCCCTTTCTCCATCCATATATAATATTAAATTCACTATGCCAAGTCTAGATTAGTTATACCAAACAACATTTCCTCAAAGATTTCCAACAATCTTACTCCATCCATTCTTTCGCAAAGAATACTTTGATTTCTGTGTCAAGTGGCCATTGAAGGAAAGAGAGAATGTTAGAGAACGGAGCAGTACCAAAGTAGTTCGATGCCTCAAAAGTTGTTAGAATAGTCATCCTTAAACAATTAACGCTGACTCTGGAGGAATCTGGACCTGGATTCAATAGGCAGTCAATCAATAACAATTTACTAAGTACCTACTATGTGCCAGGCACTGTACTAAGCACTTTGCATGAAAAGAAGGTAAAAGACAGTTTCTGCTCTCAAGGAGCTCGCAGTCTAATGGTTCAACTCCCACCTCTGATACTAATCATGTGACCTTGGGTAAGTGCCTTAACCTCCTTGAGGAGGTTTCTTAACCTCCCTAGATCTTCATTTCCTTATCTGTACAATGAAAAGATTGAACTTCTGGGATCCCTTTCACCTTTTAAATTAATAATCCTATGAGATGACAACTGGATCTCACAGAAAATTTATTCCTTTGTTCATTCCCCTCTATTGCCTTCTATCAATCTATGTCTATCGATCCACCTACCTTCAAGATTCATCTCAATTAATTATTTCCAGGAAGTCTTCCAGATTGTCCCCAGACTAAGTCTTCTCATTTACTCTGACTATTGCATTTTATATTACTTTCTTTCTTTGGTATTTCAAGTTGATTTTTTTTTTTTACAAAACTAATATGAATAATCTATGTATTCCCTGAAAACAGTTCAGCAAAACAACACAAAAGAGAGATTATCACTGATGGTATATCTTACTTACAATTATGTAATTTACCAATTGCTAAAATAAAGTTGAAGTGCTTCAACTTTTGAAAGCTAGTGCCAAGAAATCAGTTGAATAATTAGATCCAATGATTCCTAAGCATCTACTCCTCCTGTTCTTTATGCATACCCTTACCTCCATTTTAATTCATATCCTATAGAATTAATCTTGTTTAATTTTTAGGCTAAGTTGAATGACTAGTCCCAGAAATAATAGTTAAATGTCAATTTGGTAGGAAGTCTTTAGTTGTATGCCTCAGAGATTTGTACTTGACCCTGTTCCATTTGTTAATTACTTAAAAACATGGATGGTAAGATACTATTCAATATTACTTTCTTGATGCCCATCCAGATTAAACTGAATGCACACTTTAAAAAAATAATCATATTAAGATTTATAAAGTGTTTCTGTGATTGAGGGCAGTGGAGTTAGGGAGAAAGGAGAGGACAGGCGTGGAAAAGTTATTCTAAAATAGAATTGGGTACTGAACTTACGATCTGAGTGGTATAGGTGGAGTTCCTCCCTGTGGAGGAAACTGCTTCTACCAATGGTATACCATCTTTGAAATGTATAGCAGTAGAAAATTATCTCAGTCACTGAGAGGGTAAGTGATTCGTCGATGGTTATAAAACCACTATATACCAGAGGAGGGACTTGACTTTAGATCTCCAGGCTCAGAGTTCAGCTTTCTATCCACTATTCCACATTGCCTGTCATTGTTACACAATAACAAGTATTTTTTTTAAATTAAATGATCAATTATATAATAAAGCTATGAAGAAGACAGAATTCTAAGCATTAGGATCACATAGTGGCCCTAGATTCATTGCTATATATCGAAGGCAGCAACACACAAATAACAGTTTCCTATATACTGAATCCGTTAGAAACAGAGAATGGAGACTTTCATTCATTTATGACAACAAAAATCAACATAAGGGAAAAAACAATTTTATTTTAAATGCATGTATCATCTATGTACAAAAAGTTTTAAAACAACTTTCAAAATTAAATGAAGATAAATGGTGCAATATTCTATGCTGTTGGTTAGGAGAAAACTCATATTTTTTCAGTCCCCAAGTGTGAATGACCCAAAGTTGTAATTCTGTAATGAGTTCAAGAGTGTCCCCCAGACACAGCCAACCCATTTCACTACTAACATAGGCAGCAGGGCTAGAAAAAGACAACAACAATATCATCATCATCATCATCATCATCATCATCATCACTACCTATTATTTAGGTTTTGCAAAGTTGCTCAGTATGATTTGATCCTCACAACAACTCTGTGAGGTAGGTGCCATTATTATCCCCATTTCACAGATGAGGAAAAATGAGAGAGCGACAGGTTAAGTGAACTTTCCAAGGTTACATAGCTAGTAAATATTTGAGATGGGGTTTCAAGTCAGGTCTTCTTGACTCCAATTCAGTGTTCTTACCCACTTCATCCCATAGTGTTTAACAAAAAAAAATCCTCAAAAATATTTTGGGAATCTCTTCAAGTTCTTGTATGATACTATCTTGAAGTGTCAGGCCTCTGTGTTTTACAGAAAATAAGAGATGAATTCAGCTTGAAAAGAAAAATCAGGGCAGATATTATTAACTAATCACTTGGTTCATAAAAGAACCTAAATATGCTCCCCATGGGAGAAATGAATAAGCATTTATTAGGTGTCTATTATGTGCCAGACACTTTATACATATTATTTCATTTTTTTTAGGCAATTGGGGTTAAGTGACTTGCCCAGGGTCACACAGCTAGTAAGTGTAATGTGTCTGAGACTGGATTTGAACTCAGTCCCTCCTGACTTCAGGGCCCATGCTCTATCCACTGCGCCACCCAGCTGCCCCATATTATTTCATTTAAAACATCTGGTTACATGCTGAAATGTGTCCTAATGAAGCCACTTAGATGAGTTAGCTATAAAATGTGTCCCCAAATCACAGTCTCCTATAGTATTAAGAAGGGACTTTAGAGGCCATCTAGCATCTTATTTGAACAAAAATTCCTTAACATGCCCAAAAAGAGATCACTTAAATTTTAAGCTTAAAAATTTTGCTAACCTTAAATACCCAAGTTTATTTTCCTGTTATTTAGGTTTCCCTGTATAAATTATGGCAATTTCCTCCTAAATGCAACTCTTTTAGCTCTGGTATAAAATTAAACGCTTCTTAAAGGATAAATGGCCCACTGATGAAGTTTGTTACCAGAGGACAGGTGATGAAATACATTTCCATTTTCTTGGTAGAAAGCAAGGGGATCATGGTATATAGATTATTTCACAAACTGGCAGAAGTTGTCATTTGATGGGTCAGTTTTGTTTTGCTGCTTTTCTTTGTTACTAAGGAAGGTTCAATGGGGGAAGAGCATTACTTAGGGACGTGACCAAGATGTGCAAAACAAAAGGTATTAATTTACATTTTTCCAATTAATAATGATTTAAAGCATATTTTCATATGACTATAAATCATTTTGATTTCTTCATTAGAAAACTGTCTATTCATATCTTTTGATTATTTATCAATTGCGAAATGACTTGTATTCTTATAGAATTGACAAAGTTCTTTATTATATTTAAGATATGAGATTTTATCTGGGAAGCTGTCAATAAATTTTCCCCCAATTTTCTGCTTTCCTTCTGATCTTGGCTACACTCATTTTATTTGTACAAAAACTTTTTAATTTAATGTAATCAAAATTATCCATTTTATACCTAACTTTGCTCTCTATCTCTTGTTTATTCATAAATTGTTCACCTATCAAGAAATCTGATAACTAATATATTCCATGTTCTTCTAATTTTCCTACAATATCTCTATATCTAGGTCATTTTTCTATTTTGACCTTATCTTGGCAAATGGTGTAAGATATTGGTCTACACTCAGTTTCTGCCATACTACTTTCCAGTTTTCCCAACAATTTTTTGAATTCTAATCTCAAAATCTTAAGTCTTTACACTTGTCAAATACAAGATTATTATACTTGTTTATTCTGTAAATTGTATGTCTACTTTATCCCATTAACCTACCTTTCAATTTTTAGCCAGTACCAAATAGTTTTGATAATTATTGCCTTATAATAAAGTTTAAGAGCTGGTACTGTTAAACCTCCTTCCTTTGTATTTTTTTCATTACTTTCTCTGACATTCTTGACTTTTTGTTCTTCCAAATGAATTTTGTTATTTTTTTTTTCTAATTCAGTAAAGTAAATTCTTTTGATAATTTAATTGGGATGACATTGAATATGTAAATTCATTTGAGTAATATTGTCATTTTTATTATATTGGTTTTGCATACCCATAAACAATTAACATTTCTCCAATTGGGGGAAAGGAAGGAGGAAGGGGGGAAAAAGAACAAATTAAAAAGTATATAGCAGAGAACAAAGAAAAACCTAAAGGAAGCAAAGAAAAGATGGATAGCTCTCACTACAACACATAGCATTTAATACATAGGATTTCTTGTAATGGAAATTTATTGTTATATTTTGAGTCTTCTCTTATGTTCCATTGTGCATATGGCATTTTCTTTTCTTTTCTTATTTTATATTTAAGTTTTAATAAATAAGTTTATAATATGTTTTTCTTCTTATTATGTATTTAAGTTTTAATAAT